ACCCTAAACCCTAAGCCCTCAATAAACCTCGGTTCTCCCACGGCCTCCCTCCCTCGGAAGCAGCTGGCGCGTGCTGCAGAGGCCTGTGGCCTTTCCCAGCGAGGATTCTTTTGGGTTTAGAGTTTAGGGGTTTGGGGTTTAGGTTTTAAGGTTTAGGGTTTAGGGTTTAAGGTTTAGGGTTTAGGGTTTAAGGTTTAGGGTTTAGGGTTTAAGGTTGTAGGGTTTTAGCGTTTAGGGCTTAGGGTTTTTGTAACCCAGGTGCCTTCAAAACTATCCTTTAAAAGGTTTCTGAAAACAGGGATCTTCTGTTATCAGGGTGCGTTAAACATTGGGGTTTTAGTGTGGGGGCCTTAATAATTAGACTGGGGTTGGGGTGATATTGCTGTAGCCATACAGGAACTACAAGGGGGAAGGTTCTGTAAATATTCTGGCCACTACAGCAGTGTCTCTGGTTTCAACCATGGCGTCAGCTGTATGTCGAGTTATAGTTGCAGTTGTTCTCATACGTCTCAGCCACAGTTTTTTTGGAATAGGACGAAAACGATTCGGCAGATTTTGCTTTATCAAAAAGGAACAGCACTCTGAAGGGTTTTTGCAGTGTAAACTCTTTTGGGCGTTCTGGGATTCAAGCTTTCAGGTGTAGTTAAGCGGTGTTCTACTCAAAGGATGTGGGGACCATAGGAGGGGGCGGATCGAATGCTCGGCGCCACTAAACCCTTAGCCAGAACTTCCAACATCCCTTCATTGAGGAATAGACCGTAAATTACCATATTAGGATCCCTAACATGATGTAGGGTATATTCCTTAGTCAAGGGATTGTGGGAACGTCTGGGAAGCTAGGCTTGGGATCAGCTAAGGGATTAGGGCTTAGGACCTAAACCCAAAACCCTAAACCCTAAACCCTAAACCCCTAAACCCTAAACCAGAGGAGGCCTTGAGGCCTCATCGACTTTGGGGCCCAGGGGACCCAGACCCTGGGTCTTACAAAGCAGGTCAGAAGGGCTCTTTCGGGCTTGGAGTTTAGGGTTTAGGGTTTAGGGTTTAGGGTTTTGGGTTTGGGTGTAGGGTTCAGGTTTTTTTGAAGCTTTGGATTTTGGGTTTAGGGATTTTCTGCTTTAGGGCTGAGGGTTTAGGGCTCAAGGTTTAGAGTTGAAGTCCTTATACACCTAAACCCAAACATCCAAACATCCAGGAGGATCTGACAGAATCATCCCGTATTTCGGGGCTGTATACTACCAAATGGTGCTTGGAAACAAGAGCCTTTTTGGTGGATGTCCGGGAACACAGGCTGCAAAGTCCTGCAACCTAAACCCCAACTTACAGCCTCAACTATGCGACCGAAGACCTCAGCTCCCCAAACGGCTCTACTTCCCAAGTGACACCCCCTAAAACTTCGAATCCTCATCCATAAACTTGTAAATTTTACAGCCTCAAAACCTCTCACCTCAGACTCTCTGAGTGAACCGTAAACCTTGAGGGTTTAGGGCTTAGGTGTAGGATTTAGGGTACCCAGCTCCGCCATAGCCGCTAAAAAAGAGAGGCTCCTGCTTCATATTCGTCAGGTACAGGGGAACCCCAAAATCCGGGACGGTAACCCATATGACCCTGTAAGGCCCTCACAACATTGAGCCGGTATCAACGCTTATATCGCTGTTTTGCTGGCCCAGAAAGCTCCTGAGCCCTAAACCCCAAAACCCTCAAACCCTAAACCCTATAACCCCTAAACCCTCAAACACTAAACCCTGCAACCCCTAAACCCTCAAACACTAAACCCTACAACCCCTAAACCCTCAAACCCTAAACCCTATAACCCCCAAACCCTCCGTAACCCCAGACCCCGGCCTTTGTTGCAGTTCTTGCACTTTCTCCGCCTTCCCAGAGGGGAGGACTCCAGCAACGACGTTCCTCAGCTACGAGGATCGCTGGACGTAGTAACTGGAGATATAGGGTTCCTTTTTAAGCAGTAACTGGGGATATAGAGTAGGGTAGGCCTCTATATGGGTTCTAAAAGAAGGGTCTGTGGGCATGGGACGAAAGTAGCTGTGGATGTAGGGTTCCTTTTAAGGACTCTAGACGGGTTCTCAAAGAAGGGCCTTTGGGCATGGGACTTCGTAGCTAGGGTTCTGAGTGAGGGGACTATAGTTATAACTACCCATAAGCTCAACAAAGGCACTTACAACCTTACTGTCCAAGCCGCAGGATTGTCCAAGCAGGGTTTTAGCCAGGTTCCCCGCTGCCACTTCGAAATAAATAATTCGACTACCGCAAGAATCTTAAGTCTTAAAGAACGCCCCAAAGTAAAAAACGCAGAAGGGTTCTGCTGGGGTCTTAGTAAGAGAAAATTTGGAAGGAATTGTACGGCTGTGCAGGGTTTCAGCCACGGAAGGAAGACATGGGTACTTCTCTGAACTAGTTGTCCTCAAGTAAAAGGTTTAGGGATTAGGGTTTAAGGTTTAGGGTTTAGAGTTTAGGGGTTTAGGAGTTTAGGGTATGGGCCGAAAGTCCGGATAAGTTTTCGAACTTGCTCATTCTGTCTACGCCTTTATCAAGCATCCAGTGTTCACGATGCAATGTGGTTTGGCTACATCAGGCAAAGCTATTCGAGGCTCCCAGACAGCCCGAAAGGAGACTGTCGTGTAAGGCTGGGACCCCTAGTTACCCCGTAAGCATACGGAGTATGAGGATTACCACGAAGGCCGGCTTCTGTACGTTAAGGGCATCAAGCAATTTGTCGCAAGTAATTTCAGTACCTCTTGAACAATGGCCTCTGTCACATCCTCATGATCTTACTTCCCCAATAAGCCAGGAAAATAAAAGGCTAAACTTTCAGATTACTACTAAACTCTAGCAGCCCAAAATGTTTAAAGGTTGGGTATCCTAAGTAATAAGAAGCACAGCCGACAATATTTACCTTGATGGGGGAGCCCAGTTGAGGCGAGCCATATCAAATCCCATTTTTGGTCCGTAAAATAAGAGTAATAATAACCAAAAAAATAGTGGTAATAATAATAGTAATCATAACCGCAAAAGTAATAGTAATGATGATCATGTTTTGTGTATGTATGTATGTATGTATGTATGTATGTATGTATATATATATATATATGTACTTATGCAATATGCAGACACGCGCACAACACACATGTCATAGAGACGGCGACCTTGAACAAGCTCCAGGTCCGAAGCGCCCTAAACCGAAGCTTGAATCCCAAATGGGTGCTTGTCAAAATTATGGTCCCTTTTTGGGTCCTTATTATAATATGGCACCTATCAATTAGGGTACCCCAAAAGGGACCATCATCTTGACAACCACCCAAATGTAATACTTCTGGCCAGCTGCTCCGGTGGAATACCCACTCGCCGGGCGATGGCTGCCGCAGTGCGTGCGTTATCACCCGTGAGCATGAACACCTGCAGAGGCTTGGGGTTTAGGGCTTAGGAAGGCTTTGCTGCACTCTAATTACACCTGCACGGGCTTGGGGTTTGGGGGGATTTTGCTGCACTCAAGTTAAGCCCTTCGCCAGGTCCTTTACAAGGGTTTGCTTTGTTTAGGATGCGCTTAGTACTGTCGACTAGTAGTGTGACGTAGAAGTAGTAGTAGTCGTAGTAGTAGTAGTAGTAGTAGTAGCAGGAGGAACAGCAGCAGTAGCAGTAGTAGTAGTAGTAGTAGTAGTAGTAGCAGGAGGAACAGCAGTAGCAGTAGTAGTAGTAGTAGTAGTAGTAGTAGTAGTAGTAGTAGACTTCTACTACTACTACTACTACTACCACTACTACCACTACTACCACTACTACCACTACTACTACTACTACTACTACTACTACTACTACTACTACTACTACTTTGTACTACTCCTACTCGGACTTCAAAAAGGTAAAAAAGGGCCCACTGGGAGACCTAGATATTTACGGAATGACAGAATTGGCGACCTGCAAAGCCGCCTGATGTAGAAGACATTCCAGGGTTAGGGGTTTAGGGTTTAGGGGTTTAGGGGTTAAGCAGGGTCTAGGGTTTAGGGGTTTAGGGTTTAGGGCTGGATGTGATGAGCACTGGTATCACCCTGTCCAGTTTTCTGTGAGTCCATCGTGCTTCTATGACTGCTCTGCTTTTTCAATTTCAGGCGCTAAAAGACAAACCCTGCACACCCCTACCTCACCGCTCACAAACCGCCCTGACATATCAAGCCTGAAGCCTAAATAACATGTAAAGAACTAGCCCAAGACCCGAAAATACAAATCAGAAACACTAAGTCTTAAGTCATAAACACTCCGAACCGAGGCCTTTCAGCACTTGGGCAACATTTGCCATCCTCATCCCTACCCCCTTCCTCGGGATATCTTACATGCAGTTCCCAAAAACACTGAAACCCTGCACGCGAAAGCCAGAACAAGCCAAGGACGGATATATCATCTACTGAGGTTTCCCTAAACCCTAAACCCTAGTGTCGGGTGATGTGCATACCCACAAACCCTCTACTCACCAGGCCAAAGCCTCGCAGCCTGGAGCTACTACCCAGCCTGAACGATAAAGGATTCTTACAAAAGCACCTCTACACCACTCCATGATAAGACCCTGAACCCTAAACCCTAAACCGATAAGACTCCGAAGGCTGAAGATGACATCCACACGGTTAAGACGGTCCCCAAGGCAAACAGTTCCCAGCAGCAGCGGTTTCGGCGGCTCGGCGAGCTTGTTCCGCTCCTGCAAAAAAGCTCAAGGCGATGAGGCGGAGGGCGGAGCTTTGCGGGAGACTTCGGGGCCGAGACACAAAGTTCAACCATTCTAATTTAATAGTATAATATACCCCAAAAACCCTATATTCTAATTATTTGTTATAGTTTATAGTATAACCGTTTCTACATCAACCGAATACAGAAACCCAAGGTCGCATGAGACCAAGAGGAGTGTCGCAGATGACAGGGCTACTGCGACGACGCTGTCAAGGTAAGAGTTGCGCAGCCATGACTCAGCCATGACTATGAAAGAAAACCGTCATGTTGGAAACGGAGGGGGTCTTGATGACCTCATCGCCAGGTGCGGCACACTTGCTGTCAGCTTCGGCATCCACGTCACACTCACTGGCACCGTTGCTGCTGCCGCCGTCATCTTGACTACCACCCTCGGCATTGGTACCAGTACCATCGTTATTATCATCATCATCGTCGCCATGATCGGCACCATCACCACCACCAATATCACTACCATCATCATCGCAGCTGATATGCGTCGCCGGTAGCCAGGAACGAGCGACAAGACTGATAAGACCAAACACGGAGAACAAGGCTACGTGGCCCGTTCCAGTATAATGCTTAGGGATCAGCCAGGGAACCTAACAGCTCGTGACGCTTATACAGTAGTTCTGTCTCTCTTTTGCCTCCTACCTCGCAAGGACGAGCCCGCATTGCAAGCTTTGACACCAAAAAGATCCATTTACTCAGCTGCTGCACACAGAGCTTCAAGTTAACGCCTCAAAACAAGTGCTGAGGGTTTGGGAGTCTCATGGAAGGAAAACAATGCATCCCTGTAACCTGCACTGGTTGGCCTTGTGCTTACCTCTGAAAGTAATATCTCAGTTTGGGGGCGGAAGGCCTTGACCAAGTCCAAGTGAAGCGTAGCAAGGACTTTCGCCGGGGGCACGTCAGAGAGAGTCAGAAGACTAGTCTCCTCGGCTTCCCCGGACTGCAGGAGGGGGCGGGCGCGGGGGCCACGAAACATCAGGGGTCTCGTCTTTCCGGGGTCCCCGCGATAATAAAGACATGACTGTCCGACGATATTAGGCTCCCGTAAATCTCTGCACATTGCCGATCTCTGTTCCAAGGCAAAAAAAGCCAAGGTCGATTTTTTCTGGCAACCCAGGCTCCCCATGCATTTTGACTTCAGCACTTTCTTGAACCTGAAGCTGGCTTCATCCCCTTTTCTTAGACTCTTTACCAGCGCCCAAATAAGCCCTAGTAACCTGAATGCTACGATCCCGTTACCCGCCTTCGCGAAGCCAGGTATTTCTATTCTAAGACTGAAAGCCGGGGCTTCACCGAGACTTTTCCTCCATACAAGCCGAACATCTCTGAGGACAGTCTTTGACAAACCATGAGCTCAGCGCTAAACCGACTGCAGGCCTGTCTCCTCCAAGAACAGGTGGGGGTTTCCGAAAATAGGGGACCCTAATATGGTACCCTAAATAGTAGGATCCCTATTATGGTACCCTACATAGTAGTAGGATCCCTATTATAANNCCCCCCCCCCCCCCCCCCCCATTTTTGGGAAAATCCCAAGTGGCCAAAGGTTCTGTCGATGAGGCCAACTCGGTGGTCTTTGTCTCCGCCTGGCCGTGCAGTGCACGTACTGGTTCCTTTGTTCCTAGGCTTTCACAGTGTCACACAAGCCCATAAGCCCCGATAGATAAATCTGAACCTAGTAACGTCAAGGACTCCACCTAAACCCTAAACCCTAAAGCTTAAACCCGAAAACCCTAAACCCTAACAGCTGCCTTGCTAAGCCCCCCAAAACCTGGTGCATTGTGCGTCCTGTCACTCCTGCGAGGCTCTTCTTCAACCCTTTCCCACCATGACTTCTCTACTTTGCTAAGAGATGCTCTCCTGAAGCTTTTGGTTTCAAGGCATGTTGCGATTCTGGGGGACAGTAGATTACATCAGTAGGCTGCCAGAGGGAGTAAGGTCGGACGAGCTTGCAAGTCGATTTCTATCGAGTCCTCGCGAGAACACAATGCTCCACTGCTTTCGAGGTGCCGACGGTCATCGTAGGTCGGTCACTGTTCATAACGCCCAATAGTTTTGCTAGCATTCATCGTCATCAAAACAAGAAACAGCTTTGGGCTTCAAGAATTGTTTCTAAACCTGCGCCCGATAACATGGGCCCTTGTCGGTACGCTGAACAGCACGGAATAGGCAGTGCTGGGGGAGTGGGGGAGAATTCTGCGCTTGGGACAAGCCCTTCATCTTTGAGGTAGCTGCATGATGAGATTTCGGGAATGTGCAGCATTCTGTGCTGCAAAAGTCTCTGAAACCCGAAATAGTTAAGCCGAGCAATCGACGCCCAAGCCCACATCCCTGACACCAAGCCCCTGGCAGGACCCCAAACTTGCCCCAACGCTATAACTATAGTTCGGCCTTTGCAGTCAGAGAAAAACTCACACGATAGGGCCTCTTGTGCCGGAGCCACCTCATCCTCCTCCTGGTTAAGGGCTCTCACTAGGGTTTCGTGAGATCCAGGGGAAGGGTTTAGGAGAGAAAGTGCTTGGGTTTGAGGTTCTGCAGAGGAGGTTCTGCGGAATGCAGGATTCAGAAGCACGGTGTCTAAAACCCGTGTCATATGCGACGGTAGCAATAACAGTAACAAGGACATCAATAATCATTGAATCATCGTAGTTATAATCATAATCATGAGTTTGAAGTCCTGGCTACGGAAGTCTTTGCCCCCTGCTTGGAAATGAAGGTGTTCCAACAACCAGTAATGGCTTCAGCAACTAAGCTCCCAGTTCGAAGCCGTAAAGTTAAACTGAACCTCAAAACCCAAAGGCGTAAACCGCCTAACTCCCAATCCAAAGCTTGCCTCTAAACCCACATGGCCAGTCTTAGTAGCCCTCGACCTGAAAGTAACGCAAGTGCCTTGAACTTCGAACATTTTCTGGGGGTATGACATATGACAAGTAAATGTGGGCGGCATTTGAAGGGGTATTTGTTGAACCATTGTTTAGACCCCGCCGCTTTCTGTGTCCAAACTGCCATTCAAATCTTTCAGGCCTCCGCCGAACATCCCGGCTCTTCGATATTGATCGGCGCCTCCGGCCAAGGACTTTCTCGAAATCAAAAGCTTGGGGGCTAGGTGTCTGCTTTCCCGGCCGTTGCGAGATTAGCGAGCGGGATCGGGGAATCTGTGTTGAATGTGTAGGAGTTCGACACTCGCAACCGGACAAGCCTGGCAAGGTCTTTTGAGGACGCTCACACTCGTAGGGTTTAGGGATCACGATGCCGGCGTTTCGGGCAGGTTCTTGGCTCTGCTTTCGGTTGAGATCTACATATGATGGTAGATATGAAGCATGGCAGTCCATTTTAGCTGACGAACAGCTTTTGTTCAAGAACTGCCTATAAAGCCTGCTGACACAACGGTTCAACAAGCAACTGTCCGGCGGCTGGATCAGAAACACTTTTCAACCCTCGTGTGGAAGTGTATGGGAGGGCATCACGGCGCTTGGCTTCCTTTGGCTGTACCAATGCTTTTGAGGCTTGACGCTCGTGAAAATGTTGTCAAGCTTGTATGCAGCTTTTTCTGGCTTCTGCAAAATGCGAAGTCCCTGTGCAGCTGCGCACATGTGAGCGGCGAAAAGGCTTGTTTTTGGGTGTTTGGGAGGCATGTCGCAGTGGATGCTTTGAAGACCAACACCTCGGACCTGAACCCCTAAAGTAAAGCACCCCTAGATTTACGAGGCCTCCTGGCACAACCATAAGCTCGCCGACAAAGCCCTGATAATATCTTAAGAAACCCTGCATCGGTAATGCGACTGCCTCAGGCTCGGGTCGGAGGAGTGGAGCCGCCAGGGACGGGTCGAAGAGAAACCTCGATTATAGCTTTTGGCTCCCGGAAGACTGTGGTAGCACTATGGGCTTCGTGCGGGGTAGCATCGGTAGAGGAGCAGAAAGGACTTGTTTGAGTGCTGTGCCCATGAAGCGCACCCGGCCCTCTCACACAATCGTGTCCTTTCCACGGCCCCGCTGCGGCATGCTGCGGCTGCGTCGACGTTTGCGTCCCGAACCCTGCCATTCTAAGAGGTTTTGGACTTCGGCGCAGTTCGAGCTTGTGCTGCTGCCACACTGCCATGCAGAGACTGGGGTGCGCATCGTCTTCCTGCCGCACTGCTTGCGTGCGCTACGGTGCCGTGCATATTCTGCCTGCGGCTCTTGTTTTCGCCAAGAACATGCTCCACAGGCCTACGCTTATTTGATGGTGTTCCTGCCCTGTGGTGCTTGCATGTTTCGGGGATGTCGTGCTTCCACGGAAGTCTTGGCAGCTTTTGGGGTGCTCCTGGAACGAATCTGCTGATATAACAGGTTTTTGTAGGGGTGTTGAGCGCTTTAGCGGGTTTGGGGTTTAGGAGGTTTTAAGCGGTCTAGGGTTTGGGAAAGTAGGGACTTACAAGTTAAAATGGAGGGCAAGACTGATACTGCCCATTTTCACGACTTCGGCCCTGGGGTGTGCAGATTCTGGATGACTGACCATAATCTAGGGGCCCCAATAACTATAACAAGGATCCCCCAGTAATAGTAGTGGTAATTACTTAGGCCCCTATATTATCCCATGCGGAGTCCTGTGCCGGAGCGGCAAGGGCAAAGAACGGGCTGAGCAGCTTGGAGCTGCTATATTTATAGTATAATATACCCCGAAACCCTCTTCTAACTATTAAGGCCCCTGCATTAGAAACCCTATTCCAATTATTGAGGCCCCTACATTAGAAACCCTATTCTATTTAGAATAGGCCCCTACATTCGAAGCTTAAGGCTTCTGGCCTGAGCCGGAATCTCCATCAAGATTGCAGGCTCTTCAGCTGGTAAGATCGAGCCTAAGGATGACCTGACCTCTGCTTCCGAGGCCCCCCAGGCCAAGCATTTTCCACGGAGAGTTCCCATAAAGGCAAAGCCAGATGCAAAACAAGTAGGACAAGCAGAACATTCACCGAATTTGTATGGGTTTCGTAATGGTCTCAGGTTCCGGGCTCGGGGGAGCTTGCTGGGGATTACTCGGGTTGCGGTTGAAGATGGGAAGATGGTTGAAGAGCACTCACACTTGTTGATTCCCATGCAGCTCTACAGGACCATACGGAAAGGCAAAAAGTGGTTTCAAAGCGCCACCGAGGATGGGGACTTCCACCTCCCCAAATCCGCAGCATTCACTGGATGAGGGACGTGGATGGAAGGAAGCTGCGGCTGACGGGTTTGGGTCTGCACGGTTAGGTGCTCCACGAACTGCCCAGTGCTTGAAAGCAGCTTGTTGGCCCACACTTGTATGGCATTGTTCTTGGCATGCGTCGTCCTGACCAGGGGGGGGGAGTTCTCTCAGGACTGAATCTTCAAGCAATCTACATCCGATGCAACTCTTGCTCACTTTAGCTCATCGCTGCCAGGGCGGGGTTCTGTATCACTGTACCTAGTCACTACTTCGTGTTGACTCTCATGTTCTCATCGGAGAGATGGAGGTCTGCTTCGTCTTTTCTAACTTTCTCCACGCAACAACTATAATGATTGTTCCCATTGTTTTGCAATGTCTCCTTGCTACTTCTGCTGCGACTCGCAAAACCTATCTCGATGCTCGTGTCGACAGCTACTCTCCCCCGGTGATTCCTAGTGGCTCCAGACCCCAAATACTAAACTGTGGTCTAAACCATAACCCCTCTCGAGTGCTGTTTCCTGGATACACAGAACCAACCCCAGAGACTTACCGTTCCTTTACGTGACCTTTAAGGAAGAGCACCAAGAGCCTTCGACATTGGGCACTTTTCGGCTGCGGCCGAGGGTCATCAGAAATGCGCCGCTGTGGCTGAAGCAGAGGCCGAGGGCTGGCTGAGAGAACCTGACGGAGCCAAAAGCCCAGTGCTTAAACACATCTTAGGTTTGCGGTTCAAGGTTTTTTTGCAACCATGAGATACGTAAGGCATGGAAACGGCTTAAAGACATTCTGGAGAGTGCCTTCTCTACATCTTTTCATGTGCTCGACGAGGATTTGAAGGGATGAGGTCGGGAGAGCAATTCAGGGCCTAAGGATGAGAGTAGGATTCCAGGGAAGCTTACAACCTGCAATCTATATAAGCCCAGACATGAAACCGCATGGGTAGATTTCTAGCTCCGATGTAGAAAACACAGTGGCTCCGTTCTTCCTTCAAGGTTCTCTGTCTCCGCTGAACTCCAGAGAGCCTGGAGCCCAAAGTATCTAAGATATCGGGGCTGTCCTACGAAAACTCTGCTCAGGCCTCCGAGAATGCCCCTAAACTACAGGACTAAACTCCATGTTGATAGCCGCACTAAGTCCCCAAGCTACTCTGCTAAGCGAGTCACCCCAAATCAAACAATCTTCCAATCCCCAACCCTGAACCCCCTTGCTTAGAGCTCCCATGAGGAGATGATCTCTCGTCTGCCCTCTCGTGCTGAATGGCATCTCGGCTTCGGATCCTTCATCTTGGTACAAGCAGGGCCGAGAGTAAAGAATTATACTATCCTCTTAACCTCTATCTAAGTTACAAACACCAAGACACAACCACACAGAGGCCTACCGCAGTTGACGGTAGTTAGAACGCCTCTTTTCTC